TTTGAAAACATGTTCTTTTTCTTTTGAACTTAGCTGTTTGCTACACTAATACTTATTAGTACCTCACCAACTAAGTAAAATAGGAGAAAATCATTCCACTTTAGGGCCAATTGATTCTTTAGTAAATAGATTGAAAATTGCTAGTAAAAACTGAATTTGAAAATCAGGTTTAAACATAATTATTCATGCCAATATTGTTCTGAAGATTATTAATAATCCGGCCTTGAATATAAATTATGAAATATTTATTCAAGTTGACAAGTGTTTTTTTTTTTTTTTAAATTAAGCAGGAACTCCTTTGTGCACAGATACATTTTAAACATGATATTTTAAACCGCTGTTTGGTTTATCCTTGAATTCATCAATGTTCTCCAAAGAAACAGAACCAATAGAATGTGTACATGTTGAGATTTATTTTTAAAGAATTCATTCACACAATTGTACAGGCTGACAAACATGAAATCTGCACAGCAGACAACCATTCTGCAGACTCACAGAAGTGCTGATGTTGCCGTCTTAACCTCAAAGGCAGAATGCCCTTTTCCTTGGGGACTTCAATCTTTTTCTCTTAAGACCTTCAACTGATTGAATGCGGCCCACCACTTGCGAATGTTAATGTTTTATTTAAACTCTATTGATTAAAATGTTAATGTCATCTAAAAAAGACTTTCACAATGATATCTAGACCGGTGTTTGACCAAAAACTGGTTACCATGGCCTAGTCATGTTAACACATAGAGTCAACGGTCATAGTCCTGTATCATTAAGTTCTGTTATGACTCAAGTTAAAGACATACTGTGTGGTTCACATAGACAGGAGTAAAAGCATTGGTTTCACAGGTTAATATGTGATCACCATCCACCAAAAACATCCATATCCAGTTTTGATATTCTTCCCTCCAAGACAGAAACAGAATGTGTGTATTCAGAAGAAACAAAGGAAATTAGTTAATAAATTTATCCAAATAATTAATATGATAGTATTTGACCATTAAATAATGTTATATTATGGTTTGGGGAAAAAAATAACTGTTCATTGAGCTGTCCCAGTGTCTCCAGTAAAGTGCTTCCACTAAATATGATCAGTGGACAACATGGAGGCAATACTTAAGTTCCATTTAATTCTCAATGTGTCTCCTATTTTCATGAATGCAAGTTAATAGTTACCAGCCTAATTTATTTATAAGCCTAAATTTTCTTTATAGAACAGGTACACAATTTCTAGGTTAAATATTGTTTTTATACCAGGAAGGAAGAAGTCGCATCTTGCCCCATCTCCTGGAACTAGCCTGCATGCACTGAATCACGAGCTCCAGCCATGGCAAACCACTCTCGGTGGCCAAATGAGTCCTACCTGCTGGCTGTGGCCTGACATGTTCTCCTCTCACACCCATCACCTCTCCTCCTTCCAAAATTCAGATCATAAATCACTCATTAGCTATCCTGATTTCCCTGGAGTCTAAATTCTTCTTACTACCATAATGTTTTGCATAAACCTCAATATGAGCGTGCACATCACATTAAACTGTAACCAACTCTACACTTATCTACCTTTTGCTGGGTTGTACTGTTTCAAATTGGCTAAGCTTGTGACCTACATTTCCCAGAGTCCTGTTACATCAGTGGCTTTTATGACATACCTTGGAATAAAGGGTATTAAAAGCAGTTTGCATTCAGCTGGAAAGATCAATAAAACTGTATTAAATCTCCAGCCCTATGTAATAATCTAGTTCACAGGGATTGTGAGGGCCTTTATATCCCACGATATGTTTATGCTGGCCCTCTACATTGAAGATGTCATGCTGATCTGATCCAATGAGCAAAAAGTAGCAAATGTGCTAGATACCTTGTCTACACACCTACATGCCAGGGATGAGACATGGACACTTCAAAACATAAAGCCCTACTACTTTGGTAAAATATCTAGAGGTTCAATGTTCTGTAGGTATGTTGAGCTATCTCTTCCAAAGTGAACGCCGTTTGGATCTGTAGTGTGTGACTCTGACTTACTTAAAAAGAATCCTAAAAGGCTATCAGTTTTGAATGAGGACCAGATCAAAATACTGTTCTGCAATAGGTCTCGGCTACCATACAACTTGATCTGCCACTGCGGCCTTATGTCCCAGTAGATCCAAAAGTGCTTGGGGTGTTTATCACAGATGAAAATGCTACGCAGAGCCTTTGGCGAGTCTCTACAAAATCACATTGCAAAACTTTAGGATTTTGCAGCAGAGCTCTTTCAACCTCTGCAGATGCGTTCTCCTCTGATAGCTCTGGCTTGTACTCTAGCAGGGACACAATATCTGACTATGTGCCATAGCGTACCTGTTGACCTGCTCTGCCCTTCAAGAACTGGGAGATGCCTGAGCCACCATGGAATAAAGCTGAGTGTGAACAGCAGCACTCTACCAACCAGTTGAAGTTTTAGATATGAGATCTGGCTCAACAGGACCTGAAGCTAAAAGTAAGACAAGGGACTAAGACTCACATGACTCCTCCTGCTGCACGGCCTCCTCCTCCAAGCCACACATGGCCACATGGGGACTTCCCTGTGACTTGCTGATGAAGGAAGAAAAAACTCAAGTCTAGCTTATAGATACGCTGCACAGTATGCTGGCATCACCTGAACGTGGACAGCTGCAGCATGACATCCCGACTCTGGGGAACCCTTTCACAACCCTGCTTTTCAGAGCCACTAAGTACTGTGACAAAGGGAAACCCTTTCAGTGGTCACAACTTCCAGCAATGCCGCAGGTGTTTATTTTCACGGGAGGGGGAGAGGTTATCAGAGGTACATACCCACACTGACTCAGAAGCCATGGATAGCAGGTTGGCTGGGTGATCACGAACTTCAAAGGAACAGATTTAGAAAATGGGTGACAAAGAGGCTAGATTTCTCTGAATGTTCACAGTATAGAGATAATTTCATCTTGTTGTCAATGCTAGAAAGAAATGTAGGAGGATAGGAGGGAGTAGGAAAAAAGTTCAAATCTTTTTAGACCTTGGGGGACAGTCACAGATGCTTTTAAGAACTTAATGCTATATAGAGCTTCTATCCAGAAAAACACACACACTGTCCATACTGTATGATTTCTAGAGGCTCATGAACCTTCTAATTTAGCTGTACCTACAAACTTCTTTGACTCAAGGTCAAGAAAATCTTTTAAATAATACAGATCTGTGAACAACTAGGAATCAACTAATTACAAGATTTCAAAAGGAAGTTAAAATCCTTTGGGACCTAGCCCCCAAGTAAGGGGCACAGTTAACTGGATACTTAAACATACCGGAATCTATTCTGTCTGTTTCCCACCCAGCGTCATTTATTTTCTCTGCTTTGCTCTTTAAAGAAAGAACCATAAAATTTTGTAAATGATCTTAGAGATTAACTAACATAACTTCCCTTGGCCCAGATTTTATTGATGAAAAATCAAACCCAAAAGGTGAAGTACAATTATGACATAATAGAAAATCACACATAAAAATAAAAATTATAACTAATATTTACACGGTACTTACTTTCTTTGTGCCAGACACTTTTTTCCTAAGTATTTTATATATATTAAATCATTTAATTCTGATGTAAAAACCGTACTACCATCTCCAAGGAAACTAAGGCTTGAGAGGGAAATTAACTTGTCATAAGGCACATGGTTGGCACGTGATCAAAGTTCTTGATACAGGGTCTGACATAAATAGGAGTTAAGTGCATAAATAATAACAGGGGTTTCCCCCCCTTTTCTTGTTCTTTCTCAACATAACTATTGGAAAGCAGAGGGACTAGAACTCCATTTTCCCAACTCCAGAGGTTTTCATACCCACAAACCCTCACTCGTGCCTTCCTTGCCTTCTCCTCCCGTCCCTCAAACTGACCACCATTAGACAATAAGCCATCTGTATTTGACTAAATGAAAATAACTCCCCTTTTTTGACTTAAAAAATCAGGTGTCCCTTGAGTCCATCCCAATATGAACAGCTCACCTGAATTAAGTTCTTTTTTTTTTTAAGATTTTATTTATTTATTTGACAGAGAGAGAGAGAGAGAGAGAGAGCACAAGTAGCAGGCAGGCAGGCAGAGGCAGAGGGAGAAGCAGGCTCCCCGCTGAGCAGGGAGCCCGATGTGGGGCTCGATCCCAGGACCCTGGGATCATGACCTGAGCCAAAGGCAGACGCTTAACCGACTGAGCCACCCAGGCGCCCCTAAGTTCCTTTTTACCTCTTTGTATTTTTATCCTCCCCAATTTCACATTGAGAAATCATTTTGATTTAGTTAAAATAATTTTCTGCACATTCCAATAGTTATGAATGCTAATTTATACATTTTAATAAATTTATATTTATTTTTTTAAGATTTCGTTTGAGAGAGAAAGCAAGAGAGAACACACAAGTGGGGAAGAGGGAGAAGCGGGGCTTAATCCTAGGACCCTGGGATCATGACCTGAGCCTAAGGCAGACGCTTAACCCAATGAGCCACCCAGGCGCCCCAATAAATTTATATTTATATAAAATCTCAAGATTATTATAGCCTATGTTTATTTCTCACTATATACTCCCTTTAACTGAGATCCAGCCACCTGACATATTTAGGTGGACTTGAACTGATACCAAAAAATAAACTCTCTCAAAGACAACAAAGCAACTTTGTCTCTTTCATCAGAGATTCTAACATCTGTTACTGTGATTACTATCACACTATTACTATCACCACCCACCTTCATCCCTAAAAGAATATTACAACTGTTCAGCCAGGTCAGTAAAGAGCCTGTACTTCCAGAAACTGTCAGCTCCCTTTTCCATGAAAGGGTTTATCTTTCTTAACCTTTGTCTTAATCATTCAAGTACTCCGCCTTTTCATGACCTCTTTAGATTATGGAGAAGAGGCAAAACATTGCTCACCTAAAGTCTTCCTAGGCTCTAATAAAACATCAAAATTCCAAATGTTTCTCTGGTCTTAGAAGTTATATCCAGCCTACCTGGAAACTAATGAAGAAAATAATATGTTTACCATAAAGTCAAATAGATGACATTTAATCAGCAAATATGAATTCAGGAATTTCAACAGTATTCAGGGCAGAAAACAATCAAAATGAGGGAATGGCATATTTTCTAGTTTTCTAAACAAAGTATGGGTCTTGGTAGCAAGTAGCAAGTAAGTTTTTCTAATTGTACTGATTCACTCAGAAACCTGGCTGGGTGAAAGTTTCTGTTTGACAAGTAGGAGAAACAACTTTTTGCTATTGTATCCAAAATGGGCTTTGAGGGAATCCGTTTTCTACCGATGTACACAAAGTACAGCAACATGCTACTCTAAGACTTAAGAAAATGATGATTGTGAATATCTCTGAAGCTTTACCTTGCTCTTCATTAGAAAAAATAAAGGGATGTGTTTTATAGCACCGTTAACACGTTTATCAGAGGTCGTGTCTGATCAAGAAGCACCAGTACATTGCACTTTGGCTTATTAAATGTCGGCCTCAGGTTAGAAACCATCAACTGAGAGATGTTGCTCATCTTATTTTAAAAAGTTCACTGTATATCCCCACTTTTTCAGCCCAGAAAAGTCTATTAAATGAGACAATACCACTGGTGATAAAGTCTTCCCATTTTTCACTTTGCATTCCCAGTGCTGCACTAGCGGGACTTTCTCCATGAATTCTTTTAAGCCAATTTCGGCATTCTGCCATCAGGCTTACTGACAAGTCACTTTAGGGATCCACGAGAACACAGTCAGGGCTTACAAAGCGGTCACCACACCAGTATTCAAGTTTTTAGGATTCAAAATGAGATTATAAACACTAAAGATGTTATTCTCTAGAATGCCTTTTTCTTCCCTTTTCAAAATTTATAGCAAAACTTCCGCTGCAGAATATCAGGCAGTTCCTCTGATGAAATGATTTTTTTTAAGTAAAACATCTATTCCTCTACGTGTTCATTCTCTGGTTCACTATCCCAGTGGCGTACTTGCAAAAACAGTAGCACACCACCTAGATGAGCTCAATTCCATTTTCTGCCCTAGAACTTTTAACAGCAGGTATGAAAAATTTGAGCCTGAAAGATGTTGGGTGTAGAGCAAAGAACCACGGGAAGAGCTGTTTTCTGCGAACACGATTCGTAGGTTGATTTTTTTCAGAACAGCCAGAGGTGGGCATATGGCAGGACCAGATAAACGAAAAGATTCCTCTACAACGTTGTCAAAATCATGCTGTTCTAATATTCCCTTGAACAGTACCTGGAAAAAAAAAAAAAAGAAAAGAAAAAAGAAATACAGTCTGGTTAAACACTGGAAAAGATTCTAAATTGAGAACATGCCTCACTCAACAAAAAAGATCAGTGTTTATGAAATAAGGGTCTGTATGCAGAGTCCGCGCTAAATTCTAAGCACCAGGACACCGGGGACTTCGAGCTCCACATCCTGAAGCCTACAACGGCGACCGGTCCTAATGACACCAACTTCTGAACGCTCGCTAAGTGCCAGGCACCGCTCTCGCGCGCCCACGCATTAACAACGCCACGCCCTCCCCCCGAGGGAACTACCGCCCTCGTGTTCCGCGTGACACGAGCACGGGGAAGAGCGCTGGCCGCCCCACCCACGTAGTAGCAGGAGTTCGAACTCTGGCCGTGGGTCTTCACCGCCTGTGCATTTCCTGTTTGTTCAACAAAGCGGTTGTTGCTCAAGATCAAACGTAAGGGAAAAGGTAGCCACAGACATTCAAGGGTTCTCTGGGTAGCATGGTCAAAGTTCGGGTAGGTCAAGGCAGGGGTGGCGCTCTGAGGTACTCTAGGAGTTAGGGGCCGCCCCGAGGAAGAAGGTCGGCCTCAGCGAACAGGAAAAAAGAGAAGAGAAAGAAGGCCCGCGCTTGGGGAGGACGCGGCGGCCCGTCCCGCCCGAGGCGCCCGGCCCGGGGGAGTTCCACGGAGAGGGAGGCACCTCCCACCCCCACGGCCCGGCACCCAAGGGCACCTGAGCTCGCGCCCCGGGGCCACCGGAGGCCCCGCCGCAGGAGAAGCCGCCGCCAGCCCCCGAGTCCCGAGGTCCGACGACCGCCTTCCCCGGAACGTTGTGGGGCGGGCGGCCGCCAAGGCACCGCCCACACGCGGAGCGCGCTGTGATTGGCTCCAGCTCCCCTCCGGGCTAACGGGCCCGGGTTCTTACTGGTCCCGGGCGCCGAGCGGGAATCCCGCGAGACTGTGCGCAGGCGCGAGAGCAGGGCCCTCGGTCCCCACGGTCCCCGGGAGGGGGTCGGGCTGCACGCGCACAGCCGGGGATAGGGCGTCGGCTGTTTTCGGGCGGGCCATCCGCTCAGCGGCGGCCCAGGGTGGGCAAGGGCGCTCGCCTCCGCGCCGCTCCGCGTCCCTGCCCTGGTGGCGCGGGTGGGGAGCCGGCTGCGCGGGAGGTTGGGGCTTCCCGTCGCCCCCCCCCGGGAGCGGGTCCGTCCGCGCGGCGGTGTTGACACGCATGGCGCTGGCCCCGCAGGTCGCTGCGGGCCCCTCCGTGGGCGTCTCCGTCCAGAACACTTCCCTAGACTGGGGGGCGACGGGACCCGCGGGGGCGCCGGGAAGGGGTGACGCGGGGTGCTGCTCCCCCTGCTCCGCCTGCCGGTGCTCTGCGGGTGCCGGGGATCCGCCTCTGAGAACCGGGTCACAGACCTGTGGAAGGCGGTGGTGGGTCCGAGGGGTCGCTCCTGCACGGGGGCGCCCTGAAGTGGTATGTCATTGGCAGTTAAGTTTCCACTACTAAATTTTCACGGTAGTGGATAATCACTGTATATGGCCCTTTCTGTATTATCGTTTGAGAATTGAAGTGTCCGTTCATTTAGCAAATAAGTGTCTGGGGCTGTTCGCCAGGTACTGTTCTGAAGCCTAGGAACAGAATTGAATTAGGTGTATTTAGTGATTTTTTGTTTTAATGTGTTGTTTACCATGATTATTTTACAAATTACCTTCTTTAAGACTTAATTTGCTTTTAGTCAGGTGTAATTGTCTAGAGGAGCATCAACTTAGTTTTAACTCAGCTCAAAAGCCTAAATTACGTTTCGAGTTTCAGTTTAAGTCTTTCTTACAACTCTTTCCTGACGGTTGCCCTAGATAGAGACCCTGTGATGAGTATGAAATTCTGTGAATGAGTTTTATTTTACTCTTGATAATCTCTGCAAAAGCAGCATTGTTAGAGCATATTTGAAATGTTTTTCAGCGATGATAGCCTCACTCCTGAAGGGTATAGGCAAGTTCCCCTGTGTGGTATGATTATTTTGTTCAGCTTTAGAATGCAAGACCCATCAAGAAACCTACACATTTTAATTGAATTGTTTGTTGTTTTTTTCTCAAAAAGAGCAAAAACAAAAAAGTCCATTTTGTGAGTATTGTGTTCCAGTTACTCTCCAACTGCATTTATCCGATAGCTGTTATTGTGCCCATTTTACAGATGAGGAATCTAAAACCAGGCCAGTTTGGTAGCTTGATCATAGTTAAACGTCTCATAAATGGCCCATCCTGGGATTCAAACACGTAGTCTGCCTCAGATGCTGACTGAGTAGCACTGTTTCTGAATTAGGGATTAGTTTCTCTATTAACCCTGTTTAACGGTAAATATTCCCTCTATATTTTAAGTACATTCAGAGTTAATGCTGTAACTCTAGTCAGAAGGCCCATTTAGCGAGTCTCCAGCAGAGCAGGTACACGTTTACTCTTCTCTAGAGTTTTTGTGCTAGAGTATGTCTTACCTGTCTGCTTTTGTACGTGAAGGGACGTTTTCCTATTTAACACATAGGAGCATTGTATAATCCTTGAGGGGCCAGAAGCATTCAGAGAAAAAATCTAGTATTTTTTTATTGAAACAATTTTTATTTGCATTTTTGTGTGGCTATTGCTGTAGTCTTAAAGGTTGAGGGACTTGATGTCTTTGCAAGTCTGTTTTTGTGTAATCTTCTTAAAAAAGCTTTAAATTTGTTTTTCATTGCTGTGTAGCTTATAGCAAGCGAAGTCTCCTGACATGCTATGACAATTTTTTAAAACTTTCTTTAGGTAATGGGCACTTGTGGCCTTGTGTTTATGTCTTTGCTAGTGAGGAATTGCTTCGCCGGTCTTTGGAACACCTCACCTAGCTCAGGGTAAAATCTGGATATGCGTTCACAGTCACCTTCATCTGAGGCCTTAATCAGGGCGACTCATCAGAATCTTCATGGGAGCCTCTGTAGGTTATACGTGTCTAAATCCTACCTTCTTAGTCTGATTCAGTACCTTTACTGAGGGACCCAAACCCCTTGCATTATTTTGATAAGGATTTTGGGGTTGAGGAACAATGGTGTAATTTGTGCAGGGAATTTGCCTCATGCTCTTACTTGCTAATCATGTGACTTTGAATCCATGCTTAATTTTACAAGTCCTGTAATTATTAACAAGATATTTGGCCCACGAGAGATCACTGGAGTAGGGCCTAAGATTGCTTATGAATGTATAAGCTTATTACCAAAGGAGCTAGTGGGAAAATACCCTGAAGGAGAGAGAGAATGGTAGTAAATTTGGGCTTGAAAGTGGATGTACGTATCCTACTGTGGTGTTCTGGTGGTCCCCCTACACTGTTAGCCAGTAAAGCCTCTGCAGAAGTTACTGCGCAAGGGCATATAGGACCTAGAGCAGTTTCATGTTCTACATTGAGCTATTTGTCTCTAGACTTCTGTATTGTACTGTTTCAGACTTTTCCAGCTAGCAGAAGCTCCTATACCACAGAATGACCTGTGAGCTGCTAAATCACCCATGGTACTTCAAAACTTAGCCCATCAAAAACTCCTACAACATAGAGGCCAGGAGAAAAATGTTTCAGAGAGGAGGACAGTGGTCAGCTGGGTTGAATGCTGTCGAGACACTGGATTTGACAACTTGAAGGCACTGGTGACCTTGTGAAGTTTTAGCTGAGGAGCGGTAAACGTCAGAGGGTTTGAGGAGAAGGTGAATCCTAACAAAAAGCTTTTCAGAGTACTTTGCTAAGAGGTGCCAGGTTAAAACAAAATCCATTTCTTCATTGCATACAAAATGGCAGGCACCGTTAAGATGTTGTAGGATATAAGGATACACATGATATGTGCCCTCCCCTCAGGGAGGAAGGTCACAAAAATACTCAGGACAGTTTATTTTAGAGGGCTGCTGGAGCACAGGGTAGGGGCTCTTCACCCTGTCTTGTCAGTTAAATGAGTTAAGACATGTAAAACCACTAAGAAGAGGGCCATGCATTGGGGCACCTGGGTGTCTCAGTCAGTGAAGTGTCTGACTCTTGATTTTGGCCCAGTTTATGATCTCAGGGTCGTGAGATTGAGCCCCATGTTGGGTTCCATGAACAGCACAGAGTCGGCTTGAGATTCTCTTCCTTTCCCTCTGCCCCACCTCCCACCGCTCACACTCTCTGTCTCTAAAAAAAAAAAAAAAGGGCCAGGCACATAGTCCCCAGTGTGTCTATTAAGAGTAATAGCAACATTTACATAGCACATATGCCGTATTAAACATAACTTAACTCATTAAATCTTTACACCAGTGACTAGTATTACTCCCATTTACAGATGAAGAAACTGAGGCACAGAGACCGTTGTGCCAGAGGTCTGCGGGCTCTTCAGGGGCCAAGCCAGTGTATCTGTGCAGTCTGGTTTCAGTTTGTGCAGCAGAACCCTGAGAAGGACCACCTCCCGTTTCCCTGTGAGAGAGTGTGCGCTGTGTGCAAGTGTCATCACTGGGGGCTTTTCCAAGCCATGTATCGAGCTGAGAACTAAAGCCAGGAAATATTCCAAGCCTAGGGGCAAGAGTGAAAAAGCATTAAAGGTGTAAAAAAGCTTGATACTTTGAAGATGAGTAAGTCCCCCGTGTGCTTGAAAGATGAGAGAAGGGAATGGGAGCCAGAGAGGAGCTGACAGGTGAACACTATCCAGGCTGGAAAGTCCTTTGACTGCTCTTGAAGAAATGAGGTTTCACCCAAGGGCCAGTAAGTGGGACGTTTTTGAAAAGACTTTAAGTATGGGCAGGACTTGACAGGATTTGCATTTTAGAACCTTCTCTGCAGGCCCAAGGCTATGGGGGAGGAGGAGTGGAGAGAGCAGGTAGGAAATGGTCCATTTCCCAAAGAAGGTGTGGAAAGAACTCTAGTGGTGATCTTGGAGTCAGAGCAAGAGAGAGAGTTTAGTGAATTAAGGAGGATTTGGTAGAAGATTTGTTGTAAAAATCCTTGCATCCTCAAATATTCCTTTGTTTTCTTCTCTAGAGATGAGAAATAGCCAAGGATCTAAATGATGGGTAGTCCGAGCTGGAAAACTAGGAGCATTGAAAATGCTGACTACTTAAAGCAAAGGGAATCAGGCCTAATCTTCAGGACATGAGGTCAGAAAACCAAAAATTAAAGGAAGAAAAGAGGACTTTTTGGCTCAAAACTCTGAAACCCCATTTTACAGAAGCTAAGACTTTGTCTTGTATGTATTTGTCTGGAGACAGGGTTGGTCAACACTGAATGACAAAAAAGAAACCCTGATCTGATATGACATGATCTCTGTCTGCCAAGTCTATTCCTGCGCCCCACCCCCACCCCCCAAACTGTCACATTGCTTGCATGCCCCTGAGCTAAGAGGCAGCATTCACTACTCTTCAGCACCTGCCCAGGGCTGTGTGTACATCCCGGAGGACTTGGCAGAGTTCTTAACCAATACACAGGGAATCTGTATATGTGTAAAGGCTTCCTGATATAACATAGTTACCAGCATTGACTGGGTAGCTACTTAACTCTTGTGAACTTTACCAAAATTATTTTAGTAACTTAAAAATAATTTAGAATTCTTAGGAGGAGTCCCCTTAATAATATATTGAATTTTTGGAGTACTGCATTTAAATGCACGTGTACAGAATAGCAGATTGTAATTTAATATAACTTTTTCTTTTTTTTTCCTTAAAGACTTCATTTATTTGAGAGAGAGCACGTGAGAAAGAGAGCAGGGGCGTGGGGGAGGGCAGAGGCAGAGTAAGAAGCAGACAACCTGCTGAGTGGGGAGCCTGATTCAGGACTAGATCCTAGGAC